TATGAAAGATTCTTGTAATACGAATATGTTGTGCAGCTAACAACATATCATCGATCGTAGTAGATCCGTAGATTGTGTAGATCTACTGCCATGTCTAGCCGAATAACTGAGCAGTAAAGAATGGGTTGGTCATTTGAGGGTTTAGAATCAGTCTAGGAGCTGGAGGTGTTAATCCAAATAACATGGAAGCATGAGGCCATGCCTGGCCTTTCTCGTCCTTCACTGTCATCGCTCCTCCTTTTGTGCTTACGCTCCGTGAGAGATATGTCTCATATCGCGCAGATGTCGCTCATTATCAATCACGCCACCGCTGTTCTCTCATGGCCCTCGGCCTGCTCGCCACACAGACCATCTACACCGGGACAAGCTTGATTCCACCATATCTTTATGTACACAATATTAATCTTTTACAATGTAATCCTTTTATTTTTAATATTTGGCTCTGTTGAACTCTATTGACCGTTTGCAAAAGCCATGCCCTGTTGTTATTGTTGCTATGCCCGTCAAACAAATGGTCAAACACGACCAGCGCGATAGATTGCCATGACGGGAAGAGGAATAACTGTGCGTGTCAGTGACCTTTTTTGGAGGAATACCTCCAATACCAATAGCGATATCCTCCAGATCGAGGTAAAAGGGGTTACAGTATGCAGTGGAGGGATATGTTTTAGCATATATTAATGATATGGCCGACTCCTGTTCATTGAGAGTTCACTCCATTCTTGAGAGTAACCTGAGTGCTGAGCTGGCTTCTGTGAACAACTGGTTGATTGACAATATGCTGTCTCTACATTTTGAAAAGACAGAGGCTATTCTGTTTGGCTCAAAATATAAACTAAACAGATGCTCGAAAATTCAGGGTTATTTTGAATAATATTGAGGTCAATACAAAAACATCAGTAAAATACCTGGGTTGCATCCTTGAAAACAACTTGGATGGCATTTTGATTGCCAACAAGATTCTGAGTAAAGTCACTGGGCTGAGTTTTTAGCTATAAATTCTGTTTTAGATAGGTCAACAATGATCATTTTAGCTAACGCCTTCATTTTAAACCAGTTTGAATATGCATGCACTTCCTGGTTTGAAGGCCTTACAAAACGACTTAAAGGAAGGCTGCAAACAGCTCAAAATAATTTAATAAGAGTAATTCTAAACATGGGCCACAGGTCTCATGTAGGTAGGTCACAATTTGTTGAGCTTAACTGGCTTCCTGTTGAGTCACGCGTTATTATGTCAAGACTGACCATGACCCATAAAATATTGTATGGTAAAGTCCCAAATTATTTGTTGGGTCTTATTACTAAGGTGAAGGACACACACTGTCATGAAGAGGCGGAAGCGTGCAGATCCATGTGCAGTTTATATTTATTAAGAATAGTCAGACAGGCAGAAGTCAACGATCGGCATACAATATAGAGCAGGTAATCCAGAGCATAAACAATACCAGGCAGAGGTCAGGACAGGCAGCAACAATCAGAATCCAGAGATAACAGGCAAGGGTCGGGGCAGGCAGCAAACAGAGAATCAAAGTCCAGGAACAGTCGAGGGTCGATAAACAGAGAATCCAGATAAACACAGGGAAACCGCTCAGAACTGTCACCAGGGCAAAACAAGACTTCGCACTGATAGAGAGTCTGAGGGCTGTTTATATGGAGCGTTGAAATGAGGAACACCTGTGCCGGTAATCAGTGCTAGGTACGGGGCTTATGGGAAATTGAGTTTGTGTGAAACCCAGTCCCACCTGGAGTGCCCTCCGGTGGACAAACAGGCCACTCCAGCTGGCAACCGCCACATAGCCCCCCCTTTAAGGAGCGGATTCCAGACGCTCCTTACAATGTCCAGGAGAGATGTGGAGGACCAGGCCCGTGGAGCGGAAGAGGACCTGGAGACTGTGGCGGAGCTGGCTGTGGAGGCGACCAGGTCGGAGCTGTGGGACCCTCGGGCGTCCACGGCGGTGAAGGTCCCTCAGGCGGCCACGGCGGTGAAGACCCCTCAGGCGGCCACGGCGGTGAAGACCCCTCAGGCGACCATGGCGGTGAAGACCCCTCAGGCGGCCACGGCGGTGAAGACCCCTCAGGCGGCCACGGCGGTGAAGACCCCTCAGGCGGCCACGGCGGTGAAGACCCCTCAGGCGGCCACGGCGGTGAAGACCCCTCAGGCGGCCACGGCGGTGAAGACCCCTCAGGCGGCCACGGCGGTGAAGACCCCTCAGGCGGCCACGGCGGTGAAGACCCCTCGGCTGCCCACGGCGGTGAAGACCCCTCGGGCGGCCACGGCGGTGAAGACATTTCAGGAGACCACGGCGGTGACAACCCCTCAGCCGCCCACGGCGGTGAGGACCCCTCGGGCGGCCACGGCGGAGCAGGACGAAATGAAGGCCATGTCTGTATCGCCTCCATGGCCCTCACAAGGTACCTACTGCCCCCCCAAAAAAAATACTTGGAGAAGTCCACAGGGAATTGAAGGGCACAGCTTGAACAGAGCTTGAAAGGCACAGGCAGAGCGAGGCGCAGAGGCGGGGCCGGCAGGGCGAGGTGCAGAGGCGGGGCCGGCAGGGCGAGGCGCAGAGGCGGGGCCGGCAGGGCGAGGCGCAGAGGCGGGGCCGGCAGGGCGAGGAGTCCTGGTAAGCTCACCGAAGCCTGGCGAACTGAACGAGCCCTCCTTCTCCTCCTGCGGCGGCGTTTCACTTGAACTGAAGATTCAATCACCTGAACTGAAGACTCATGATGACTCACTTGAACTGGAGATTCATCACTCGCGAGGCTTGAGTGAAGTGCAGGCTCGGCAGGGCTGACGGTCTCGGAATGGACGGTCTCTGGCTGGACGGTCACTGGCTGGACGGTCACTGGCTGGACGGTCACTGGCTGGACGGTCTCTGGCTGGACGGTCTCTGGCTGGACGGTCTCTGGGAACGCCCCCTCGGCCTTCTCCTCAAAGCCCACAGTAAATGATGATCCGCTCAACAGAAGAGCCAGGTCAATGTATTGCTCTAAAGTCCCGTGAGGATCATGCAAGGGCATGAACGAACTGAGCGGTTCAGATAGTCCTCCACGAAAAAAGATCATTAAGCATACCTCATCTAGGCAGGTCAGGTGAGCCAGCTCTAAAAAGTCAGCAACATAATTCTCAATGGAATGATCTCCTTGACGGAGACGCATAAGCTTGACTGCTGGATTCATGACGATGATGGCTGCTGGATCTTGTGTCGGCGAAGTCTTCTGTCATGAAGAGGCGGAAGCGTGCAGATCCATGTGCAGTTTATATTTATTAAGAATAGTCAGACAGGCAGAAGTCAACGATCGGCATACAATATAGAGCAGGTAATCCAGAGCATAAACAATACCAGGCAGAGGTCAGGACAGGCAGCAACAATCAGAATCCAGAGATAACAGGCAAGGGTCGGGGCAGGCAGCAAACAGAGAATCAAAGTCCAGGAACAGTCGAGGGTCGATAAACAGAGAATCCAGATAAACACAGGGAAACCGCTCAGAACTGTCACCGGGGCAAAACAAGACTTCGCACTGATAGAGAGTCTGAGGGCTGTTTATATGGAGCGTTGAAATGAGGAACACCTGTGCCGGTAATCAGTGCTAGGTACGGGGCTTATGGGAAATGGAGTTTGTGTGAAACCCAGTCCCACCTGGAGTGCCCTCCGGTGGACAAACAGGCCACTCCAGCTGGCAACCGCCACACACACACTGTTTACACTCGTGGCAGTATATCAGACCTCTGTCCTTATGCATTCAAGACAATGTTAGGAAAAAAAAAAAACATTTGCCTATATAGGGGTGGAACAAGTTAGACCGGCAAATTAAAGTAATCTTAAGCATTAATTCTTTTAAAAAGAGGACCAAGGATTGGTTATTAGAGAGGGTGGCGAAATAGAAACAGGAGCCAGTTACCATCTATAATTTTGCTTATTTAAGAAAATGTTTGAATAGTATGTTGTCATTGATTATCACACAATATGTAATTGTCTTGTCTTCACGTTATGTGTGAGAGGACCACAATGGAAATAAGTCCTGGACTTTATTGTGTTTTAATCCTCGATTGTATTTTGCGGCCTTTTGTTTTTGTTTTAAGGCTTTCTTGATATAATTAAAATAAAAAATCAAATCAAATCAAATAAAAATACGTAAATCTCAAGAAACCCCATGACCTGTACCTCAAATGCAACCAGCACAGCCTTGGGGAAGATTTTGTCAGCTGGTTCAGTTGCTAATTGTTTGGAGTTAGAAATATATAACTCGCGCTGCATATTTAGTAATTTTGCCTCAGATACAGGATTAACATGTTCGCGTTCACAAGCAGTTGTTCATTACCACGTCAGTTATATGACGTCTTGGTATGAGACCGGGTTGGCTCACATAGTAACGGCTGCTATGATGTGTGATTGGACAATGGCCGTTTTGGGGGAGGGGCTGGCGAAAGGACAATTAACAGTTTTTTCTAGCATTTCACAGTGTTCCACTACAAAATAATGTTCTTCCATGCTGCAAAAGTCCTAATATGAAAGAGTCAGTGCTGGGCTGATATAATAACAACATCGGAGGATTTAATTCTAAGTTTGTAGAACTTAGTGAAAACTAAGTATAGACCATTTCACAAGATGTAAACAACACTGGTCCAGAAACACTTCCTGTTTCAGTTTGTAACTGTTTTCTTTATTTCACATGTAAAGAAAACATCTTAAAGATGTTTGTTTAACTTTTTGATTCAGTTTTAAATGTTCTGTTGGTTGTATTTTATTCCAGCTGTTATGTAGTGTTAAAAAACTGAAACAGGAAGTGCTTCTGGACCAGTGTTGTTTACATCTTGTGAAATGGTCTATATGACCAAGATTAGGGTGTCCATCAATTTGATTTATGTTTTTTAGCTTTTTCATACCTTGTTTATCATCATCAGTGATTGGTTTATGACTGAAATTTTATATATTAAAAAATAGAAACTTGATGACACCCTGTTGAAGGTGAATGGTTATTTGTGTTTGACATTCTAGGAGGGCTGTGGTCTGCCCTATCATTGATGTCATCAGTGATGAGACATTTGAGTATATGGCTGGCTCAGATATGACCTACGGGGGATTTAACTGGAAACTCAACTTCAGATGGTATCCAGTTCCTCAGAGAGAGATGGACCGACGCAAGGGGGACCGGACCCTTCCTGTTAGGTAATACAATTTCCTTTGAATTATGTGCTAAATTTATAAAATTATGTATTTATAAAACTTCTGTATTCTTATATATATATATATATATATATATACATTATGTTTTGTGCTATATTGTTTCTTTCAAACAAAAATAATGAATGACAGCTTCATAAAGACAACCTGCCTTAATTCCACATATTTGGTAAATGGTAAATGGACTGCATTTATATAGCACTTTCACAGACCCAATGGCCACCAAAGCGCTTTACATTTTGCCTCACATTCACCCATTCACTCACACATTCATACACCGACGGCGGTGTCAGCCATGCAAGGCGCCATCCAGCTCGTCAGAAGCAGGTGGGGTTAGGTGTCTTGCTCATGGACACCTCGACACTTGGTCAGGTGGAACCGAGGATTGAACCACCAATCTTTTGGTTTGTAGACAATCTACATGAACCACTGAGCCACTGCCGCCCCGTATTCCACATATTTCGAAACCCTCACATAATAGCTGATTGTTTAATTGAGCTGACAGCAAGTAATGTAGGTGGCACAATACAGATGCAAAACTCAAATCTGATATTGTCAACTCTTTATACCAGTTCAATAATGACAACTCACAGAATAGATTTAAACAGCATTTATTGATAAGAATGAACACCAGCTCAAAGATCCATTCGTTGACGATCATATGTTGACCTGATTGGTTACAAGGTATTTTTTGACGTCAGAAACAGTCTTTGGTTCACTGCAGTTTTAAGGAGAAAATACTCAGCAATGGTGTTGACATGAATTTGCACATGGTTTGCCTTAAAGCACATTAAAAACACTACATAGACATATGAAAAACATTAAAAGCTTGATTTTCTCCACACGGATACTATATAAGAAAGCAAGGCTATGTAGATAGAACAAACAGAACTATTGGTCAAAGCAGTCGGTATTAAGAAAACCAATCAGCTGCTCGATACAGTTTCATGACTGAAATATGTATTTCTTTTATTAACTTGAGAATTTAAGAAAGGTTTTAAACTGCATTACCTTTAAATTTCATTTGTCACAATTTAATCAGACGTTTTACCGTTTATAGTACGACATCGATTATCTTAGTCAACGATAAAGCATTTTCCAATACCTCAACCATGCGTGATACACATTTTTGATAACATATTTGTAGAGGGGCCTATCGTACACCCGGCGCAATGCAGTTCCAGGCATGACGCAAGTGTTTTTTTGCTAGTTTCAGCTAGACGCAGTTATCATTTTCACGTCCTATACCATATTGTTTATAGCAAATGCCCATTTGTATTATTGTTTTTTTGCACAATGCACCCAAAAAACACCCATTACCCATTGAGAGAATTGGGACAACCCTTTAAGACCTTGTGCTGGCTGTGCCAATCATTTTTCCCATCGTTAAACTGGCAAAAGTGGATTTGGATACGTCCTAAGTGTGCTTGAGCCTTGTGCTTTTAGACCATGTGGTTTGTTTGTTAAAATAGGGCCCATAGTTATTCTCTATTCTGTATCCTATTTGAGACATCCACAACAAAAAAATACGTCGTCTGATGACATTTCATCATTGGCTTGCAGTGAAGAAAGTCTTTCAGTCTTCTGTGGGCTCTAAAATGTTTACACAGTGTACAAGGTTTCACATCACTTAACCTAGCTATTATCACTCTACATATACACTGTCAGATTTTTTTAATGCTTAAAAAAAATATATATTTTCCACAGAACTCCCACGATGGCAGGAGGTCTGTTCTCAATTGACCGAACTTATTTTGAAGAGATCGGCACTTATGACTCAGGAATGGACATTTGGGGAGGGGAAAATCTTGAAATGTCTTTTAGGGTAAGTTTACGATTTTAAAAAGAACTCAAGGAAGGTCATAAACTCTCACATAGTCATAATCTTCTGGTATGCCATATTCGTTTCCATAAATACACTTTGTAATGCTCTTTTTACTGTAATTGTATGTAACCAATTTTTAAAACCATTCTGATTTAATTCCTTTTGTATGTGTGAAAATAGATCTGGCAGTGTGGAGGATCTCTAGAGATAGTTACATGTTCTCATGTAGGGCATGTATTCCGGAAGGCCACACCATACAGCTTCCCTGGTGGAACTGGTCAGGTGATCAACAAGAACAACAGACGACTGGCTGAAGTCTGGATGGACGAGTTCAAAGATTTTTTCTACATCATCTCACCAGGTAATACTCTTCATGAAATCTTTAAATTACACTTAACTGAGATGGACCTTCACATTATCTGTGGTAATCTTTAATTTGGTTGTTATTTCTACTACGTTCTAACACAACTAAAAGTAAAAGTGAAATTAAAGTTCCCATGAATTCAAAATTGACCATACTTACTTTGTTTGCCTAAATTGATCGTTTTGTGGTGAACAATTCATCCATGCAAGTCAATCCACACAAAAGCATTTTTTGGCTTCGTAATCTTTAATCAAAATCTGAAAATGCCCCTCATTGGAGGACCTTCCCTGATGACGTAGGTTTGACAGTTTGGGTGTCTGCTTAACATCCGTAACCACACCCCTCCAACTGACAGTAGACAGGATGCCTGTGTGTTTGTGAGAATTGACAGTGTGTGAGAAGATGGCGAGGAGGTGCATTTTTGGTTGTGGTACTCATGGGCAGTGTTGTGCAAGTTACTTCCAAACTGTAATACATTAGGTATTACTTGTTACTGTTATTTAAAAGTAATTCATTACCTTACAATATTACTGTCCCAGAATTGTAATGCGTTACATTACTCATGTATTACTTTTGAGTTACTTTCACCAAAATAACTAAGTAGAACTTAACTTTTGGGCTGTAACGATATGCAATATGAAACCGAAATCGCGATTCGCCACACGACTCAGATCCACAAACCTACAGAATCGCGACACACCTCTTCCAACTCCCAGCGTTATTCTCCTTACGTCCATATCCAATGCTGCCTTATCTTTAAATTAGGCTATTAGTATTATTTGAAGTTAACATTATAAAATACGTAGACCTACACCACAAAACTAGTTGAGGATAAATTATTTAAAATTGGGGAAGTCCAGCATTATGGACATGACATTTGCAGTCAAAACTTCTCAGAAAATTCATGTATTGAAACGTATATATGCTACTTCCTTAAAGGACTCCAGACATTAGACAAATATCAGTCTATGTTTTATTTTTAATATTAGGGAAAAGACACACATTCATGCGTGACAAAAAAATAGGAGGCAAAATAAATTTTTTGTAATTGTGTTAATTACACTGCGCAAATCGGATGAGGAAGGGTTGGCTCTCCAGTCTCCATAGAACTTAAAATATTCATTTTATTTTAGTTTTCGTGTTCGCATTTATGAGGAAAAAACAATGTTACAGACGCGACCGCTCTGAACTGGCACTAAAAGACTGCTTTAAAACTTTCACATATGTTGCCTTTAAGAAGTAAAAGCAGACAATACACTGTAATACAACTGTAATACAAGCCTCACTGAACATGTAACGAGTAAAATATTACTGAAAATTGATTAGTAATGCCTTACACTACTGCGTTACAGCAAAAAGTAATATGTTACTGTAATGTATTACTTTTGTAATGCGTTACTCCCAACACTGCTCATGGGTTAGTGAGTTACACGCAGGTTACTGTCATAACAATTTATTTTTTAAATAAAAAATAAAAATAGTTTTATAATTTAAATTAGTGTTACACCTACGTTTCTAGATCCAATCAGATGCTAGTTGGAAAAAAAATCCATGCACACTATTTTGCCTTATTTAGCATTCCGTTTCTCTCTGAAATATGTCACAACACTGGAGAAAATTTGTTTGCAACTTCCGGTTCACGGGGACTTTAAGATGATTCCACAATTCTCCTAAGCCAATTTTTTTCTCACAGGTCTTTATTAGTGTCATCATGGTGTATGGCTGTCTTTACAGAGATGGTTTCTATAAGTAGCGTGTTGATTTGCACATGTGGTCATGGTTGTTGTGAAAGACTGCAATTATCTTATCATTCAGCCTTCTGGGCCATTGTTGTGGTATTTTATTTGCTTTCTATAACCTGGCACAAACACAGCTCTCCTCAAGCTTACACAGACAGTAGGGAATTGTAGCAGACTACATTTATTCAAATGCAATTCCTTCTCCCCACTTCCTCTTATCTTCCTCGTCATTTTCCTTGTACCCTTTTCTTCCTCTTGCCCACTTGCACAAATTTACTTCTTAAAGACCCTTCTGAAAAATAAGTACACTTTAACATAGTACTTATTACAAAAATAATATATCTGATAACATGTAAATGAATGTAATTCAGTAATTTCGTATATAAATACTTATATAAGTCTATGGTATTACGTATCAGGACAACATAAAAAACAATCTGGTTCTTGGCAGGTCTTACAATTAAGTAAATACAACCTCATCAACACATGACAAATTACACCGTACCATAGTTTATTTAACAAAAACTTGGCCCAAATGGAGAAGCAATTTGTGACAACACTCTTACTGCTTCCACAGGAATTAAGAGGGTACATATTATCCAGGCCCTGCTAATCAAATGACTTTGATTAATTCATCATGCGTGACCAACTCTATAAAAGTAGAAGTTTCGGCAGGTTGCTGGTCGCTGGAGCATTCAGGTGTGTGTTAACACTGTACCAAGAAGGAAAGACATCAGCAATAATCATGGAGAAGCAATTGTTGGATTTAAAGTCAAGTCAAGTCATGTTTATTTATATAGCGCTATTTACAATACAGATTGTTTCACAACAGCTTTACAGAGATAACAGGAAAATGATGCAACAAAGTTTGTTTCCAGAAGATAATAGCGTCACAGTCAGTGATGTTTCATTTTTATTGTAAAAAGTTATCAATTTAGTTCATTTCTATAGCCGCTCTGGAGAAAACCTTGATTTCATTGTCCAGCTCAGTTCAGTTCTCATATAATGGTTTCAATGTAGGCAGATCAATATTGTTGTTGAATTTTAAATTAAATTGTTAAATTTAATGTTCCCAACTAAGCAAAACAAGCCAATGGCAACAAAAGTGGAAAAAGACTGTCGCAAGGAACCAAAACTCCATCAGGTGGCAAAATGTAGAAAAACCGAGGCTCAGTCAGGGGCTAGTTCTCAGTGTATGATTATGATTCAGGCAGCATTATAGGTCAGAAGTCAGATTGGTTTGGAACAATCAGAATATTATCTAGTTTTATTTGGATGAAGATGGGTTCGTTGAGAATCAGTGCCGATGGCTGTCGTGCCGATGAAGCCTTCACACGGGAGAGTCTAGTTGACGCAATCTGCTGACACTTCAGGGATGCGTTGTGGTTGTGTCTAGGTGCAGGTCCTCCATCTTGTCTGGATATGGCCCGGATCCAGCTGATGACATTAAACCTCAGATTAAGCACAAAGACTAACATTAGCGTAGATGTCATTCTTCTGATGATGTAACGAGTACATCGGGTGTTATAGGACATGTTCCCGGTTCCGCTTGACATAATTTATGCAGCCTAATAATCATTTAACTGATTTGAATAATAGGAATGTATCATTTTCGATGTGTATGCCAGGTTAAAGGAGAGCTCCGGCGAACAATGAACCTTTGGTTTAATAAAACGTCTCAGGTTACGACTGTAACCTATGTTCCCTGAGAACAGGGAACGAGACAATACGTCGAATGACGCAATGGGGAACGCCTCAGGCGTGACAGGTGTCTGAAATCAAATATCAACTCACAGTAATCAGGTTGACCGGCGACAGCCCGTGCATCATCAGCTTGAATGATGAGCGCGTCAATCTGGATGTATAAGAAGGGCGCCTTGAAACCGTGACAACATCCTATCGTCTGAAGGGACTGTTGCAGGCAGGCCCGAGGCATGGCAACGAGACGTATTGTCTCGTTCCCTGTTCTCAGGGAACATAGGTTACAGTCGTAACCTGAGACGTTCCCTTTCGAAGGGAACTCAACAATACGTCGAATGACGCAATGGGGAACGAAATACCCACTCCGCCATGCTGAGGGGAGTGCATGCCGAAAAGGCAGAGACAACTGTCAGAACCAGTAATTCCAAGGAACACTGAAACCACTCACCCTATGTTACATCGGGCTGTCAGTGACAGCACTCCCTACCGGTCATAGCCCAAGCTAATGAACCAAGAAAAACCAGAACGTAATAACGTGGGTAAATCGGGGCCAGCTCAAAGGCTTTAGGACCACAACTTCAAAATAGAAGGGGTCCCTTCTAGGAAGTGTGGCTAGGGGGCCAAAGGGACCCCCAGCCAGTCACTATTCAGGAGAACACTCCTCCTGAAATGCCCCCAGGCTGGCCTGGTGATCTGTACTAAGACACACAGTCTGGCCATAGCCTGTCCGTCCAAGACAGAGCCTCTGGAAATTGCCTAGGAAAGGCATCCAAAAACTGAAGGCCCGCGAAGCTGGCAGAAACCATCAAATTTCGGATCACAGAGACGGGATCCTCCGGAGAGTGTGACTCAACCTCAAAACAACGGGAATCGTACACTCAATCCACGAGTTTCCACCCAGTGCTCGCTTTTGAGCACTGCGGAAGTAAGAGAGGGATCAAAATCAGGAGGGTCAATGAGACCTAAGACCTGATGACCCTCTGTGTAGGGAGCTCTGAAACATGAGGGCTCATGTCAGGGCTCACATTGTGCGGCCTGAAACCCAACGACCACAGCATGTGGAAGCTCATCCTTCAGGAAAGCCAGAGGCTAGAAACCTGACAGACCCACAATGTGGGGCTACCTCGAAAAAGGTCTAATCAGACCTAAAACCACAGTTGTGGGAGATAGCTTGAACAAGGGAAGTGCCTGTCGTAATGTATTGCGACAAAGACACATCTACAGTGGGACCCAAAGTGAAGAACCGGAGTCTGAACCACATAAGAAGGGACCGAAGCATACCGCGCGTGACCCTCACCATATGAAATGGATTTGAAAAACTGCACAAGACATCTTGTCAGGTGACTTACCACAATAATAGGTGAAGTATGGGTTTGTGTACTTCACTCTGAATTCAGGAAGGCCTGTTGAGGCCTGTAACCTGGCGACCACATTGGGTGGGAGCTCATACTCAGGAAGGTCAGTGAGACCCAGCCTGGTGACCACAACCTGTGGGAGCTTACTCCACCAAGTGGAAGCTACTTCTTCCAGAAGTTAGCCAGAGAAGGGCGTCCCTGTAGCCAGTGACAGGACGCCACTTAAAGTGGGACCCAAGGGAAGACCGGGGTCTGAGCCACATAAGAAGGGACCGAAGCATACCACGCGTGACCCTTACCATACAAAATGGATTTTAGAAAGTACACAAGACATCCCGTCATGTGATTTACCACAATAATAGGTGAAGTAGGGTTAGTGTACTTCACTCTGAATTCAGAAGGCCGAACTTGAGGCCTGTAACCTGGCAGCCACAACAAGTGGGAACCCATAATCAGGAAGGCCTGACAAGGCCTAACACCCGATAGTCCCAATGCATGGGGAGCTCACATTCAGGAAGGCCGCTGAGGCCTGCAGCCTGACATGTGAAGACTCACCACTACAACTTAGCGACCACGAAAAGTGGGGGTTTCACATTCAGGAAGGCCTGGTGAAGCCTGCAACCTGACATGTGACAACTCACAACCAGGAAGGCCAATGAAGCCTGAAGCCTGGTGACCACAGAGTGGGAGCAAAGTGCTCAGGGAAGGTGGTGAGGCTGTAGTCTGGCTATGGGAGCCCACATTCAGGAAGGCTGGGTGAGGCCTGTAAACTGACTACCACAGTATGTGGGAACTCATAACCAGGAAGGCCCCTTTGAGCCTGTAACCTAGCAACCACAATGTGTGGGAGCTCATCACCAGGAAGGCCTGGTGAGGCCTATAACCTGACCACCACAGTATGTGGGAACTCATAACCAGGAAGGCCCCTTTGAGGCCTGTAACCTAGCGACCACAATGTGTGGGAGCTCATAACCAGGAAGCCTGGTGAGGCCTGAACCTGGCGACCACAGTATGTGGGAGCTCATTAAACAGGAAGGCCTGGTGAGGCCTGTAACCTGGCGACCACAATGTGTGGGAGCTCATAACCAGGAAGGCCTGGTGAGGCCTTTAACCTGGCGACCACAGTACGTGAGAGCTCGTATCCTGGTGACCACAGTATGTGGGAGCTCATAACCAGGAAGGCCTGGTGAAGCCTGTAACCCAGCGACCACAGCATGTGGAGCTCATAACCAGGAAGGCCTGGTGAGGCCTGTAACCTGGCGACCACAATAAGTGGGAGCTCATAACCAGGATCATAACCAGGAAGGCCTGGTGAGGCCTGTAACCCGGCAACCACAGTATGTGGGGAACTATAACCAGGAAGGCCCTTTGAGGCCTGTAACGTAGCGACCACAATGTGTGGGAGCTCATAACCAGGAAGGCCTAGTGAGGCCTGTAACCTGGCGACCACAGTATGTGGAGCTCATAACCAGGAAGGCCTGGTGAGGCCTGTAACCTGGCGACCACAGTATGTGGGAGCTCATAACCAGGAAGGCCTGGCTGAGGCCTGTAACCTGGCGACCACAGTATGTGGGAGCTTCATAACCAGGAAGGCCTGGTGAGGCCTGTAACCTGGCGACCACAATGTGTGGGAGCTCATAACCAGGAAGGCCTGGTGAGGCCTTTAACCTGGCGACCACAGTATGTGGGAGCTCATAACCAGAAGGCCTGGTGAAGCCTGTAACCCAGCGACCACAGCATGTGGGAGCTCATAACCAGAAAGCCTGGTGAGGCCTGTAACCCGGTGACCACAATCAGTGGGAGCTCATAACCAGGAAGGCCTGGTGAGGCCTGTAACCTGGCAACCACAGTATGTGGGAGCTCCCACAGATGTCTCTCCGTGGCCACCATAGCACCACAGAACAGCAGATTGCTTGGGGGCCCGGAGTCCCGCAACAGATCGGTCTGGTAGGCCTGAGGACCACAAGGGCGTGCAGAACCGCACCTGCCTGACCTGCTGCCGTGTACGCGCTGTCATTCAAGCATGAAGATGTCTTGAGCAGCTTGGATGACAGGGTCAGAGCTCTTAGTGAAGAGGACCAACCAGAGACGAGATAGTTAGCCAACGTCTCGTCCACTGGCGGCCTCGACACTTATCCGTTCTCCACGGCTCCCTCCACAGCAGCGAAACTAGCCCGCTGATGCAGATAGAGACGTGAGGAGAACGGATTTCTTCCATACCCTCTGGATCCCAGCGTGGAGATCGGAAACGAATGGAAGGCTCATCCGGGCTGGTGGCTTATGGTGGGAGGAACCAGCCATCCAAAATACCATGAGCGGGTTCCTCCCAGACGCGCCTCCACTGCAACAGCAATCTGTCTGAGGCACGCCCCATAATGTCAACCAGCTCAGCGTACACTGGGCAGGAGGGCTGAAATGATTCGGTCTCAACCAAACTGACATCCTTTTCTATATTATAATATATATATATATATACAGTATATTACAGCCACTCCTGCCCTGCCCAAAAGAGAACAGTTACAGATTCACCAAAGAGAGAGAGCGCTCATTTTCTCTCTTCTTAGTTGTTCAACATATAATCTGTAACTCACCCTCGTCAGCTGGTAGATCATCCGCGAGGTTAACGCCCCTCTCCCGATAATCTGCCAGCTCCATCTGAAAGCTCCACGAGCTCAACCGCCATGAGCCTCAGCCCGAGCGGGAACCGGAACCGCGGGGTTCAGATGCCGCACCACTTCCTCGAGAAGTGGGTCAGACG